CTAATCTAAATAATACATAAAATTTTTTTACTATACATAATGGTGAACGTATTCTCTGGAACTGTTTGCTAAAACTCGAAATTTTTTAATGCCAATTAATTTCCAGATATAGTAGTGTATAATTATAAAGGACAATGCAGTTTTAATCTAAAAAGGAAAGCAATCAAATTAATATCAAAGCCTTACCAAAAAGAGAACAATTGACAATGTACTTAGCTTAAGAAAAGTGCTCTAAAATTCAGCCAATGATAAATCGTATGATTTTGACTGATGAAAATGATCAAGAACATCTACAAATCTACAATTAATATTAGAATAAAGAAGATGGTATATTCAAGCGATGCATAAATTAGGGAATAAAGAGCAAAAAGCCTATTGCTATAGTTGCTTGAAGCTTTGTATATTGTGCAGGAAATATTGACGCCTTAGATTAGATCTTAAATGGTCAAAGTTTTTTTGTGTAATCAAAATTTTTATTTAAGAAACTTATTCTCACCTCAGAAATTTAACTCTTGCATTAGCATTTGAGTTAAATAATTTCTTGCTAACTCGTTTATAAATTAATAAAATATAAAAAATAAAAAACACATTAATAGCCCACTTGATAAATTTTTTGATCAAATTAACCTATGGATAGCAATATTGAATATACTCATGATAATGTAGTTCAAGAAATTGATGAAGAAAATACTCAACTTACGAATGAACCAGCCGCAAAAAAATTAAAGTAAACATTTCGAAGTCAGATTGTTCTCCAGGCAAGAAAAGCTATGTTTGGCTTTATTTTAAAGTTGAAGAGGGGCGTGATGTTTGCAAGATAATCAAATTTGAGAAGGGTGATGAAGTTGAATGTGGAAAAGATTATAAACACGATGGTTCAACAGGAAATATGAAGAATCATCTTTTAGTAGATCATGGAATCTTACTACCAAATGCTGAATCTCAAGTAAAACCAGGTGAAAAACACCAAATGTGTATTGACGAAATAGTTAAAAAACCACATCGTGCAACTAAACAAGCAGAATTAAAAAGACTTACTACTGAATGGCTAGTTACCGATTCTTTGCCATTTAATGTTGTCTGTGAAAAGGGATACAGAAAAATGATTAATTGTGTTAATTCAGCTTTTGTACTGCCTAGTTATAAAAGCATTAAAATAGATCTTATCAAAAGAGAGTGTTAGATCTTAAGGAATTAATTTCTACCACATGTGAAACAGCTTCTATTACAACAGATTTATAGACGTTCTGTAATAATGATGGATATATTGGCGTGACACTTCATTGGTTAACTCCAAACTTTGAGGTGCGTGATATGGTACTAGCCATTGAGCATTTTGACTATCCACATACAGATAAATGAATAAGAGACTATTTAGATGAAAAAATAAAAGATTATGAATTATCCAATAAAGTTTTTTGTGTAGTAACAGATAATGGTGCAAACATGAAAAAGGCTATTAGATTACTGGGTGATGTAGAACGTCTCTTTTGTTCTGCTCATACTCTTCAACTCACAGTAAATAAAGCTTTAAAAACAATCAAACCATATATTAAGCGGGTTCGCAAGCTTATCATGTTTTTCCGATCTTCAAAACAATGTCAATGCCTTGATCAAGCACAAATCGAATGTAATATGAGTAGCAAGCCTATTCAATTATTCGATTCTGAAGATTCATCTGAAATTTTACCTGAAACAGAAATGGAAGATGATGATTCAGAAATACTTGAAGAAAAAGAATTAAAAATTTTACACACTATTACGGATTCAAAAACTCGGTAGAATTCTACTTACCACTCATGGAAACGGCTCCTAGCTTTGCGTAGAGCGATCGTGTAGCTTTCTGGAACATTATATATGAAAGATGAGGATGGTGCTAAAGAAGATTCTCGTAAATTAAAACATCTTGTACTTGACGAAATTATTAGAGGAAATAGTACAAACGTTTAAGCTATTTGATGAATTAACAACTTACTTTAGTAGAATTAAATATACCACTCTTTCGGCTATTAATACAAGTATCGAAGCGTTAAAGCTTGAGTTTTTTGGTGGTACTATGCTAGAAGATATTGAAGAAATTATTAATGATAATTGTATATATAAAAATAAAATAAAATAAAAAAAACATTATTTTTATTTATCTTTTTTTAAATTTTAGATGAAATAGATGAACCCTTATCTGATGATAATAATGATGTCGATGAAATCTCTGACAATGATATACTACAACAATCGAATATCCAAGAGCAACTCTCAAATCAACGAATACTCTCAAATCTCAAAAAAGTACTTTATAATTCTCTTTGCCGTTATTGGGATGATCCAGAAGATATTGGGCTAATTGCAACTTTATTGGATCCGCGATTAAAAACAATAAGTACATGGTCAAATATAACATGAAATGATACAATTGAGAAATTACGTACTAAATTTGAAACCTGGCAAAATATATCCATGGCCGATGAATTAGTCAAACATATCAAACCAACATGCTCATCATCAACTCCTTCCTTTATGGAAAAGATTTTTAGTCAAAATCAAGGTCAAGGTCAAATTAATCATAAAATTCAAATTGACAATTACCTAAATACATCAATTACACCAATTCAACCTCAAAGCATTAATGTCTATGAATGGTGGCGTACAAAATGGCATTCCTTCCCTATTTTAAGTAGAATAGCATGTAAGTATTTGTCTGTCCCCACCACCTCTGTTCCAAGTGAACGTCTTTTTTCTGATGCGGAAATCAGATTACCTCTAAAAGGACCCTGAAATAGTTAGTAAACTACTATTTGTTAAACAAAATAGTGTTTACTGCAAAAAGATTTGGGGTTAACATATGTATTAGAACTATAAATAAAAAAATATTAAAAAAAATAAAAGATCATGATTTAATAAACAAATTGGGTTACTTAAAATAAAGCTTTCACGTATAAAACCAGCATTTAATAAATTTGCTTCATTTTGTCAATTTCGTTCGATTTAAAATTCAGAAATTCGATCTTAAAGCATCTTAGTAAATTTTTTTTTATAGCTTTTATAGCTGACCCGGGTCAAACGGGTAACCCGTTCACCCGGGTAAACCCGTCGATCAACCCGGGTGACCCGGGTTGCATTTTTTTGAACGGGTTATAATACTAATTAAAAGTTTGTGTTTTTAGGTTTGTTTGTTAATGAATTGAATGCTTGTTTAATTTTTTTTGAGAAAATTTAGATGACTGTCATGTCGTCTACTCATCTCGCAATTAGAAGTGATCTCGCTTCAAATAGGTGTCCCTTAAAAGTTTCTCTTGTGGGCGTTGCTCAAGGTTCACCAAAGGAGATTAATAGTGAAAATGCAGTAGTTAATGTATTGGTTAATGATTACGCTGGTCAGGTTTATAGTTTCATGATCAAAATTATTTTTTCATATTGTAATTCTCGTTTTAAATTTTTAATGAATTCTTCTCGGTTGAATGAGTCAATTCTTTTTGTAGTGGGGCAAATAGAAATTATTGATAAGGATTTATATGTGTATGCTGCTGATATTTCCTTTGTTGATATTAGTCCTGCAGCTAAGAAGAAGGTTTTTGCTTTTGAAAGTTTACCAGCAGTGTATAGGTCGGTTAGTTCTCGACTTTTAACTGTACATCAGAGTATTAATGAAAAGTCGTTTAATACTTCTGAGATAAAAAATATTGATCTCAGTAAAGAAAAAAGTAAGTGTGAAGATAGTTCGACATCTGAAGATTTTCATGTAATGAAGCGTACAAGATTAGAAGATGAAAATGTTGATTATTCTGGATATGTTGAATTTGTTAATAATATAAAAATGATGTATAATTATGGGTATTGAATATAAAGGTAATATTTTTTATGTTAGTAGGAGTTCTGGATGCAGTTCTGAAGGTTCCTTTAAGGGTAAAGATAAGGCGTTTCAGTCTGTAGTTCACAATACTAGACAACGTTCTAAATTGTCTAAAAATAGTAATAGTAATGACGAAAAGGTTTAGAATTGTGGGTTTTGTTTTATTAACGGATATATTTTTGATTTTTTGATTTTTATATTTTTAAATATGTTGCAGTAGTTTATACTTTTACGTTTAAAGCATTATTTGTAGTATTTTTTAGTTATTTTATTTTTTTTTTTAATCTTTTGAATTGTAAATAAATTGCTATTGTTGTAAAATGAATTCGTTTTAATTTGTTCTTTAATTTAGTTTTGGTGAAAGCTTTTGATTATTTTGTATTGTAAAAATTGTTGGCATTGTTATTAATAGAGTTGGTGTTGTAGAGTATTTGGAGAAGTTAATGTATATAATTATGTAGGTACGGTGAAGTTAGTATTGTTAAATTTACTTTATATAAGAGAGTCTGCATCTGTAATATATTATATTTTGCGAGTAATTTTTAAGTAGTTTTTATAGTTAGGTTTAGTTTTGTTTATAATGTTAATGGTAGTTTATTATTATTAATTAATAGTTAGAAATATTATATTATTTAACTAAATCGAAAGGTTTTAATTTAGGTAGTGAATAATTTTTGAATTCAAAAGTGAGGTTAATTTTAAAAGTATAGAGTATTATATTTGTAATTTATAATGTTTTTGGTAGTGGTGAAATAAGAGTTAGATAGTGAATGATTATTAAATATGAGTGTAATTGATTTAAAGTTGAGATAATTATAATATATAATGTATTTACTGGTAGTAAAATATGGGATAATTATGTGAAGTTATTAGGATTTTGTGGTGTAATTTAGTGTGTATTGTTTTGGATTTTATATCTGGATGTTTTAATTAGAATTCGTATTTTATACTGTAGGAATATATTTATATCATTAGTTATTTGTAAGCTAGAATAGCAAGTATTTATATTAATGTGTTTGTGTGAGAAAGTTAAAGAAGTTGTTTTTTATTTATTTCAGAGATATTGTGTAAAGTTTAGTATCAAATAGGAGACCATCTTTCTAATTGTTTAGTTTTTTCGAAACATCTTTCAAGGCGGGTAATTTCTTCCTTAAGATCTGGGTCTATAGTTGTATTGAGTTTTGATTGCTTAAAAGGTCGAAGCATCATCATATCTTGTAGTCTTTTGACACGAGATAACATAATATAAACACCCGATTTTATGTTACCATCGTTCAGGTCAATAATTGCTTTTTCTAATGTAGCACCTTGACATTTGAATTCGGTGAATGCGAAAGCCGGGGTTATAGGTAATTGAGTTCTTTGAAATTCTTTCGTTACGTTTATGCCGTCCTCTATCTTATACATATACTTACATTTTTGTTTAATAGGATATATTGAAACATAATTTATCAGAAGATTATCATATCTTCCTGGTGTACGATTCAGTAATTCGATTATAATATATTTCGGTGGTTTGTTAATAATAATACCTTTTCCTTCATTGATGTCTATATTTTCAGTGAATGTTGTTGTATCATCATATACGATTTCGCGTAGAATTCCTTGTGTACCATTAGCCATACCATCATTTATACAAATGTTAATGGTTAAAGCCAGCTTCATTCCAATTGATAATGGTAATATTCCACATAGTGCATTCGATTTTGTGTCTGAGACCCCAAGAAATTTTCGTTTTATACTATCATAAAGAGGTATATCTTTATAAGTGTCTTTTGCATATATATAATATGTTGGTTGGTTATGACGTTTGGCATGATTTACTATAGTATCAAGATTTATTTGAATCCGCAAATCATTCCTTCGAACTAAAAATGCTGCTGTTTCCCATTCAGTTGAATTTAGTTCATTTTTTGTTATTATGCGATTACAAAGTATATCACATTGTGCTGTTGTAAGTTTGTTATTTCGTAAGTTGTTTAATATCGTAGCATACGTTAAATCATTTATCTGTCGTATTTGTTTTTTAAATTATAGCATTTTTTACTAATAACCATAGTTCTCTTCTGCAATATTAGATGCGGCAAACCCAGTTGATGCACAAATTGCAAGTGAGTTTCTTTGGCCAATTTGGTCAAAATATTCATATATTGTCTTAATAACTTTGGATTTTCCCATACCTCCGGCACCTCTAAGGTGTATTAATAATTGCGTTGGTTTGTCAAGACTATTAGGATAATTGCGTCGGCGATGATTACATACTAATAAAAAATTTTTTTTCTGTTCATCATTAAGGTCTTCAGAAATTTCTTGTAATAGATCTGTGTCATCTATTATTTTTGCTGATAGTAATACTGTTGAATTGTGTTGTTCGGAAGTATTTGTAAATTCTTTCACATTGTTATCTTCATTGTCTTCGTTTGTTTCTATTTTCTTCCGGAATGCTATAATTTCTTGCCATTTCCGTATTAAATTATCATCATTTTCACACGCAGGTCTAAATTGGTTTCTTTCGTTATTATAGTTTGAAATATTTACATTATCCTGCAATGCCTTATCGTTTATACAGAATTTTCCCCTTAGGTGTAAATGCATCATTGCTTCATTAACTAATTTCAAATTTTGAAATCCGGAACGTATTATCATACATGGATCAAAGAAAGTTTCATTTTTAATATTAATGTTATTCTGATTATCCAGTATTTCAATATCATTTATTGAGATATCATATCCTATTACCGATTTCTCTATTCGTTGAAGTTTTAATACATCTAAGTCTTTATTAGCTGTTCAACAGAGTTGTTTGTCCAAAATTGATTCTTCTTTACACCTATGTAAAAGTTCGATATTATTTATAATTGTTTGTATTCGGTCAGATAGTCCTGAATTTTGTAAAAAAGCATTACATGCTTCTTGCCATGAATCATGATTTTCTAATAATTCATTCATAGTGGTCCATGGTTTAAAAAATAATAATATGCAGAGTCCATATCGTTCTGCATTTTCTAAATCATCTTTTCGTGGAATACCTTTTCCACATAGTATAGATACTCGTTCATTTTCACAAGTCTAGTGAATTTTCATGTGTGTAGAATGTTGTGGGTGTTTAATTTTATAGTCATATATTTCATTATATTCTTGTTCTCCACCTAAGAAATAAAATCGGTCTGTTCTTGTTTTTCTTTCTTCTCGATTCGTCTGTCTTTCTAATCTGTCCAATTCCTTATCATTAATTTTTATTTTATATATAGTTGCCGCATAGTCATAAAGACACATATTTTTTAGTTGTTTGCCGTGGTATATATAATCGACTCGTAAATTTACTGCAGTCATTTTCTCACCAGAATTCGTAATCTTAAACATTTCGTCATTTATGTCATAATAATCTTCCGAATTTTGTTCCAATTTAGTATCATTATTATCGTAATTATTATCAGAATCGTTTGTAGTTTCTGATTTATTAAAGTTTTTTTCAACATAAGATTGTTCTGCTAAATATATTTCGAAAGTGTTAAGATAAATCATAACAAATATTCGTCGTATAGTGATCACCTAAATTTAATAGATACACTCCTATTTGAGGTCCTGTTAGTTCCGCTCACCCTGCAATCTTATTAAGACACAACGTAACAAGTTGTTTTGATCTTTCTACAAATTTTCCATTTGCTTCACCTTTCGTTTTCATAAGAAATTTGTTTAGTGTTATTGCACATATTAGGAATGAGCTATGAATACTTGAGTCAGATTTAGTGATTATTGATATTAGTATTGAGGCATTGGAGAGCGATTATTTCAAGTTCAAGATAGATTTTTCTAGGTGCTTCTACCAGTACTCGTGGAAAATCAAAACGGCAGTTAGACATTTTATCATAGTTGTATTTTTTACATGATCCAGTACATCTGTGAAATAGTGTGCGTTTAGCGATTGCGAGAATGTCAAGGCAAAATTTTTCTTCAAAATCAGGTAACCGTGGGTCCGAAATTGGTAAGAATGATGGGTGCATTCTTCTTTCTAAATTCGGTTTTGGGTTCATATATTCTGTCTATAACATTTCATCGGTCATATTTTGGCCATCGGGAAAAAGATAGCTAATATCTTCTTTAACAATTTCATTCACATAATACATTAACTGTTCTTTAAAGTTTTCATCATTATTTAACCGTTTTCGTAGTTCAATTGGATTTAGAGCTTCTTCAAGCCAGATTAACATATGGCAATGAGGAGTGCCCCGATCCTGATATTCGACCACTCCATAGTAGTTCTTTATTTCATCAAATACACCACCTTTCGGTCTTTTGTAACCTACTATAAATTTAATTATATTTTTTATAATAATGTCAAAGTATTTTGCTACAGCAATTGGGTTAAGATGAGCTAATCTTGCCCTTTCAGTTGCTGTTGGAAAATTTTCAGAAGTTAATGAATTAATGTCAACTTCAGCTCCTGCATATAGCATTACGGTGAAACTGTTAAAGTCGGCTGGATTAATAGTTACAAATAAAGTAGGCAAACTATCTCATATAGTTAGAGCTCGTAGTTCATTACGAAGATTATTCTGAGACTAATGTGAACCCATTATCTTTCCTCCAACAACATTAACGTTTTTAAGTAATTCTATAATGGCAAGGTTTGTTATCAGCTGTTTTCTATTTTCTTGTTCAAGTGCTAGTTCTACATCATGCAGCGTTAGCTGTGAGATTAATTCAGCAGATCTTTTAAAGTCACTTGTTTTGTTATTAGATATGCTCCTCCCGCAATTTGCCATCTTTGCAGAATATCAAATACCACAAAGATAAATGATCGATGGTGTCTGAACCTAGGATCATGAAGACGTAATAAGTGATTAATATATTGTTTGAATGGTATATGCCATTTATGAAGGTTGTCTTCATGTCCACCGATCCCATAATGGAATAAGACAGGAAATGCAGTGGGTAATAGTGTTGAATCTGTATATTCATTTTTCGGATTATTCGAGTGAGACATTAAAATTGTTTTCTTAGAACTACTCTCGTCAGTGTTTGATTCATCGACTATTTTTTGAAGCAGTTCTAAAGTACGATTTCTTTCAGAGTAAGATATGGGGGGAGTCAATAGAAATGGGACAAATCTATCTAATAAATTTGTCCCATTTCTATTGACTC